CTTTCCAGTGTATGACCTGGCTTTTCTCTGGATCTCTACCTGTCCATTGTGACCTCGGCCTGCTTACTGGATTCTGCCTTCTACCCTGTAGCTCTCTATATGTTTGATAACTGCTATGGCTTTTGGCTCGTGGTTCCTGATTTGGTACTCTTTTGCTCGTTGTTGTTACCGACCATGGTTTGTGACCCTGACTCTGCTCCTGGTTCCTGATTTGGTACTCTGCTGCTTGTTGTTACCGACCATGGTTTGTGACCCTGACTCTGCTCCTGGTTCCTGATTTGGTACTCTGCTGCTTGTTGTTACCGACCATGGTTTGTGACCCTGACTCTGCTCCTGGTTCCTGATTTGGTACTCTGCTGCTTGTTGTTACCGACCATGGTTTGTGACCCCGACTCTGCTCCTGATTTGGTACTCTGCTGCTTGCTGTTACTGACTATGGTTTGTGACCCTGACTGCTCCTAGTTCCTATTTTGGTACTCTGCTGCTCGCTGTTACTGACCTTGGTTTGTGACCCCCAATTCTGCTCCTGGTTCCTTATTTGGTGCTCTGCTGCTTACTGTGACCCACCTTGGTTTGTGACCCGACTCCACTCCAGGTTCACAATTTGGTACTCCACTGCTTGGCTGTTACTGACCTCGGCTTGAGACCCTGACTACATTACTGTTACCCCAGTATTCTGACATTCGGTCCTGGTCCTGCAGCCTACAGTCATCTAGTCTACTCATCAAAGCTTCTACGCAGATCCAGTCCAGCCTGCAATACAAGCATTCACGTCACTCTTAGAGTAGAGTCTTGGTATACCATTTCTTTGACCACTTCTTTACTCTGGACTACCAGGTACCTGGTTACGCCTACAAAATATAGCTAAAAACTTTGGTTCGGTCCCCTTTGGTGTGTGTAACAGCTGAGGCCTGCATCTCAGTTTCACAGCCTTGTCATGTTCTGTGTCACAGAAGCACTATTTATCATATCAGGAACATACTGTATATTTATAACAGATTCCCCAAAGACATTTTCTGAATTATTATTCAAGGATTTGTCAGGATTCACCCATCAGTTTCTGCCCACATTTACTCTATTCATTATACAGGTCGATGATTGGTGAATCGTGCATTATCAAATCTTGCCAAGTCGAATGTTGAAAGTACAGTAGACATCTTTTTCAGTCATTTTGATGACTGAGTCTTTTGTCAAATCTTCATAAATCACTTGGTATCAAATATCTTAACTTTCTGCCAGAGCCACCTTTCTATTTCCTGCCTCACTGGTGCTTTGAACTCGGCTATATGACAACAAGATAAGTTTATGCAGTTGTTGCTTTTTTTAAGCTTCTCCGGCTCTGCGTGCATGAAATGTTTAATGGCCAAATATGAACCCATTGCACAGAACATGACAAAATCTGCAACTTTGGATGGAGATTGTAACGGTTCTCCTTCTATCATACACAGGTGGAGTAACCTTGGCTTTACGAGGCAGAAGCATCGGTCTATGACAGATCTTGTCTTCTGGTGTGCCCAGTTATAGCGTTCCTCTACAAGTTTTGTAGTGGTAGAGGCTGGTGTCATCTGCCATACATTCATAACATACTCTGCTTACATACAGGTGTGGGCAAATATGTCTGTACCCTTACAGCTCATTGAACCAATGACATTTTGGAGTTCTGTGAAACCAAAGCAAGACAGGTCTGATCAATGTTCTTGCAATGGTGTAAATAGATATTGTCATTGCCTCAGCCTTGTTGTCCTTAAAGTATTGTGATTCCTCCACCAGAATGACTGTGGCTTTAAGTTGGAATGCTGGTGGGTTCACCCCATGTAGGGAGGACCATGTCTGCAGAAAAGCTAAATAAAGGGGTAAGGAACTGTAAAACGTTTTGGTACCATGGAGGCCTTAGTAGGTTTGTCTGTGAAGGTTCTCAATCATCCAGGTCATGGTATATCTGTAAAGAATAAATCAAAGCAACTGGACTTGCTGTATATTTCTTGAAAATGTTTCACTGGTCATCCGACTAGCTTTCTCAATTCAGAATGACAAGCGAAATGTCTTCTAGAAAAATACAGCAAGTCCAGTGGAAAAATACAGCAAGTCTTTCCCATACCCAGTGGGTATGGGAAGACCTTGGTGGAGTGGCGAGGCTTGTGGGTATCAAAAGGTACCAGGGGTTCACTAGAAGTGCCTAGTGCATCCTCAATCTTCAAGGATTCCCTAATTGACTTGATCGGAGCTGCAACAAGTTCCTTCTGCCAAAGTAACACAGAAGCTGATGCTTCATCTTTGCACCCTGAAAAAGCATGATCAGGTTCCACCAGGCTAGGTGTGTCAGACACCAGAGTTACTTCCTCCTCAGCATCTGACCCTTCAGAAGGACCAGGAGAGGGAGGTGGACATTTCCTCTGAGGTTTTGCATGTATTCAGACATGATTTGAGGATCTACAGCCCAGTTATACACAAATATACATTTTTGTTAATAATTAGAGCACTTGAATGCTTTTTTAAGATTTAACTCCTGGGTTTAGTGTCAGTTTAAGGTCCAATACACAAGATGAGAATGTCATTGGCAGAGTGAAAAGATTCAAAAGACAGGGCTTTGCCCGGGACCAGAGAGGCCTCTAACAGGGAGCCTGAAGGAGTAAAAACCTGTATTTCAGCCATAGGCTCATGAACCAAAGGGAAAACTGTATCCAATAAGTCCCCAGCAACATGAGTTGTGTTGGCCATGCCCTATAGAAGTGTAGTCATCAGCAAATGGGACAGGATTGTCCAGATGAAGCCATAGAAACGTACTGCCCCCACTGTACCCATGCACACACCAACAGGTAACATATGCAGGGAAAGTTGCCTGAACTTTTGCAGTCCGAGTGCAGCTTCCCGACCAGAAACAGCTCCCTAACGCCCCTCGATCGGAGTGGAATTGACATCAGGTCAGGGCAGGAAGGTCAGAGGCAAAATGGCTGCCATGGCTTCGGCTCAACCTCAAGTAGGCCGAAGTTCATCACCAGCCTTGGGTAAAAGGCTAGCCATCATGGGGTTCATAGAGGGGGAGTGAAGGTTCAATTAAAAAATTAACTAGTGTAAAAAAAAAGGATAAAACCCCTAAAAGGGCACCTTCAGTCCTATCTCCTTCATGCTAGGCAAATACCTGAGCTGTCTATAACAGACAAGGGTTTGACCACCAACGAAGGCCACGTCTAGGCTGTTTGTACCTATCATCCTACTTCTGTGGGCGGCACTATAACTAAAAGGTCTAAGATCTTTGCTGGGTCCTACAATGGACGGAAATTATTTTTTGTTTTTAAATTATTTTTGCTTTTAGAATATATAGAAAATAAAACCATTCTAAAAGACAACACTGCTATATGAAAGCCTTGTTTGCCCCTCTACCCACCCAAACAAAATATTTAACACTTTGGTGTCCTAAGTTGTTGCCAACTCAAAAGGGCCATAAATGTATCTAAAGCCACGTTTCTCTTGTTTTGGGTAAAAGAACTCCAGGTGAAAAAGTAGGGAGTTGTGGAAATTTCTGTCAGGTTTTACACCACACTCGTCCCCTTTAGGTAGATTCACTCTCTATTTGTCCTACAAAAACAGAAAAACATAAACAGCGCTCTCGGATGGGGAATGCTAGCTAGCGTACATGTATGCTGCCCTGAAGACCTGTGAATGCAGATAAACAGAGGAACACAAAAGGGTGCAAAAACACCGAAATGGAGCACTAGCGGGTTGGACTGGAGTGTGTATCACAAAGATTGTACTGTTAAGGAATTGTTGGCAGAGAATACGTGTAATGGTACTTACATGTGGATCCAGGAATCAGGATGTGAGCGGCCTGTGCGGAGGATCGGGACTCTCGTGTTGTCAATTGGTGTGCTGTTTGGGAGGATTCGTCCACCAGGAGGAGATGCTGTGGAAGGAGAGAGGCGGCTCTGTCCGTGATGTTGCTGGAAGAGTGTTGACTCTGGGCAGTGTGATGGAGAGTCAGGTGTAACCCAAAAATAGCGAGCCCAAACTGAGCTACTGTGACCGCGGTAGTGAGGAAAGGCACTCGATCTGTGTCAAGTCGGCTGAGGGCGGTGTGCACGGGTCAGTGTGCAAGCGTGGCTGACAAATCCCGGGTGATCGGCTTAGTGAGGGGACAGGGGTGTAGTGGATGGGGGTGAGCAAGGAGCGACGCGTTTCGAGGTGTTTAACCTCTTTTTCAAGCTCGAGTAGAACAGTCTCTTTACAGGACCCGCTAGTGCTCCATTTCGGTGTTTTTGCGCCCTTTGTGTTCCTCTGTTTATCTCTATTTGTCCTGATAACCACGGTCTCCGTAACTGGAAGTGAGGGAACATTCAACATTTTGGGCTATCAATGTGTGCACTTGCTCCATAGGTCTTTCCTTCCTCTGGAGAGATCTCCTCTCACTTCCTGTTGTTTCCAGGTCAGGAAGTAAAGAGAAATCTCCCCCAATAAAACACATACAGCAAAAAAATAAATAAAATGAAACAACCTGATCGGGGTCAGGATTAGTGATGTGCCGGGGCTTGGTGTGAACCCAGTTCATCTGGGCCCATGTAAAACTGTCTTATGCCCCCAATGATTTGCGGCCACGTTGCACTTACATGTCACAAAGGGGTGCGGGGTTCCTCTGCCACAACTGAAGGGCGCAGGTTTGGACAAACTCTGGTGAACTGGGTTTAGACAGGAAATAAAGAGAAATCTCCCCAATGGGACACATACAGCAAAGAACCTGACTGGGGACATGATTCTAGTCTAAGAGTGAAAAACATGTCTCCAAATACATTAGGCTGAATATGTATTAGAAGGACACAATGTAAAGGTGTTTCAGTGCAGTTTTATAAACATTCGCTCAGTATGTATAGCGAGCAATGGGTCCTCCCAGGCAGTATGGAGCCTCATAACATCTCACAGACACCAATATAAGTCCGAGTGAAATGACTTCCCGCCACTGTGTCCGTGTCTATGTGTGCGGGTGAGGCTCCTCCGGGCCCCCTCTCCGCCCTAGCAGTGTACCAGCGCCCATGTTCCCCGTCTATCCCGCGCCAGACTCGCTGCCTGTGCCGGCCCCGCTCTCCCCCCTGCCCGCCGCAGGCCGCAGCATCATTGCGCATGAGCGAGATCGCCGAGAGTCCGTGAGAGCGCCACTCACACTCACCGGGAGGCCGAGCACCAACATGGTGAGTGAGAGGAGCGGGCCGGCCGCTGACTGACACAGTGCGGGGCTCACACGGGGGGACGGCCTGCTGGGTGCCAGGCCTCCGGTATGGCGTGGGGGGTGTTACAGAAGAAGGAAGCGCATGTCGGAGGCGGCCAGCCCCGCTAATCTAGCTCGGGGTCTCGGGGCCTAGTTAGGGACTGATCGGGAAGCAGGGAGTTACCAGGCTGACTGAGCCTGGGAGCAGCACTGGTATAGTGTCAGGCGTGTGGTATGTACATAAGGAGGATGTGGCAGAGAATGCTGCATATCTATGGAGGTATCACACTGCCATCCCTCTGGTGTCATGGCACACATGGATGAGAGCAGGCAATGACTCCTTCCAGACACACACCGTACAATCTTTTATCCTGCTACTATACAGACTGATCATACCACATGGACTGTCCTTACATCATGAAAACACTGTATAAGAGTGGAAGACCAATGCTATGTGTACAAGTACACCCTCAGTCATCTCTGGGGTGTGAAGATGAGAGGTCACAGGGTCCTCCTCCATGAAGCTTCACAAACTGGGTATATGGTCCTGTGTGACTAAATATGTCACGGACTGACAACATGGTCAGCAATTAAAGCTGAACTCCAGGCACAGAAATGTTCATTTAAATCTATTTCTCAGTAGTCACAGAGGATATAAAACCGCTTTGTGTGCTCCAGATGCCTTTACAGAACCTTATATTTGCCTTGTAAATGGGGCAGTGGCACTGTACATAGTCTGAGCGAGCAACTCCAGCTGTGGTGGAACTACAAGTCTCATGAGGCATTGCAAGACTGACAGTTACAGACATGACTTGCAGAGGCATTTTGGGATTTGTAGTTCAAGCACAGCTGGAGGGTCAGGGGTTTCCTGCCCTTGTCCCACCCAACTGCATGAAGGGGGCGGATACAAGACCTATCACTCTGCCGAAGAAGAGAGAGCAGCCCTGACCGGTCTTTATTAGAGGAAGCTCCAGTATGACATTTTGCACTGGAAAACTGCACAGAAGTGGAAAAATAAAATATAAATCTCTAGAAGTTTGTTGTATTTTTTTGGCTGAAGCTTCTTTTGCCAAAAAGATTTCTCTTGCTAGAGGTTTTTTTTTTCCCCTTCTGTGTACATCCCGCCCCTTCATCCCGCCCATTGCTACATCCCATCCTATGTTTCATCCCGCCCGTGGCTACATCCCATCCTATGTTTCATCCCGCCCGTGGCTACATCCCGTCCTATGTTTCATCCCGCCCGTGGCCTTCATCCCGCCCTATGTTTCATCCCGTCCTATGTTTCATCCCGCCCCTTGCTACATCCCGTCCTATGTTTCATCCCGTCCTATGTTTCATCCCGCCCCTTGCTACATTCCGTCCTATGTTTCATCCCGCCTCTTGCTACATCCCATCCTATGTTTCATCCCGCCCGTTGCTACATCCCGTCCTATGTTTCATCCCACCCCATTCTCGGCATGCTGAGATAGAACCAAGTGCTAGGGACCAGGTACATAGAGGAGTTGCATCATCAGTGGCTGTCCAGTGATGGAAGAGGAGGTGGGAGAAATTGCGGCAGAGGGACCAGTGACAGGAGTCCGGACCAGTCATCTCTGAGGCACAGTCAGAGGTAAGTGTTCCATAATGTACAAGTATGTTGTGATGCTTGCACATTATGGCGAGGCCACCCTGTTCTGGTGGCAACTTAGAATTCTGAATGGTCCCTCTCTCGGTATGTGACAGCGGTTATCAGGCCAAACAGACAAAGTGTGTCACCCTGGGGGCCCCATTTATATCTTTACATTGCGGAAACACTTTAAATGCAATGCGAACATGCACCATCGCACAGTGGTAAAGCATGTGCATTGCATTGCGCCACAACATGCCATACAACAACATAATGGGGGGAATTTATTCAAACTGGAGCAATTTTCCATGGCAACCAGTCAGCTTCTCTTTTCAGTTAAGATTTGAAAATGAAAGGGAAAAGCTGATTGGTTGCCATGGGAAACTTCTTCAGATTCTGTCTGCCCCAGCTTTTATAAATTCCCCTGAATGTGTTTTACTACAAATGTGATATGCCTGATTTTCGGGACATTTTGGAGAGTTGGTAACCCATTTATTTCAATGGTTTGCACGTTAATCTGCGACAACACTCTGCAAAAATGTAAATAGGGACACACCCAAGAAAAACCCCAAAAAACTGACAGGCTTTCTTGTTCTTCACCAAAAAAAAGGTTTAGGCTGCAGATGTAGTTTGAGTAAATAACATGATTAGTATCGGTCAGTCTAGTATGGGGATAGGTGTACCACACCCCTAAAGGTGCCCACACACCTTACGATAATCGCGGGAAATCCCGCGATCGTAGGATTATCGTAAGGTGTGTGAGAGCTGTGCGACCTCTGTTACTGTAAGGTCGCACAACTTTTATCTTGGGAACATGTTCGAAAACCAGCCGAACATCGTGGTTTGTGGCATGCTCGCAAGATAAAAGCCGCATCCGCAAGCGCACACTGCCCGTTCAGCATTGCAGTCATCGGAAGCCTGCCCCTCAGCGGGGCACGCTTGCGATCATCGCAAGTACGATCTGCCTGTCCAAGATAGGCAGATTGTACGTTTTTTAAATTACCTTACAACCATCGCAAGACTTTTGTCTTGCGATGGTTGTAAGGTGTGTGCCCAGCTTTACACTATTGTGGCTCCCAGACAGTACTTGGAGCAAAGCTGAAGGCACTCTCCTTGTGGAGAAGTCCAGTGTGAAAGCGTCTCCCAGCACAACACATATATGTAAGGAAAAGCTGGCATTCTTTGTGATTAAAGGAAGAGCGTCAGTTCATACATTGAAACTGAATATTTATTATTATTATTATACAGGATTTATATAGCGCCAACAGTTTGCACAGCACTTTACAATATAAGGAAAACATTACAATCACAATACAATTTAAGACAAGATGGTAAGGAGGGCCCTGCCCGTGAGGGCTTACAATCTAAAAGTTCCAATCTAAAAATGTATAACACATTGCGGTCCTGTTACGTTTCATTAACCCCTTCATGACCGAGGCCTTTTAATTTTTTGCACCCATGTTATAATTCACATATTAGGCCTGAAAATTACTTCAAACCCCCCAAACATTATATATTTTCTGAAAGCCAAGACCCTGTAGAATAAAATGGTTGACTGGTTGAAGTATAACCTCTTTTTAGATAGCCTCACTATCCTTCAGAGGTGGTACCTACGGTATTCTTTTTGTATGCAAATAGGTTATCAATCATACCTATTGTTGTTGTGTATTTTCATACACCATAGTGGTAGCGTTTTTTCTATTTAAAGAATAAAATGGTGGCAGTTCCAAAATTTTATGTTGCACGATATTAGCGCACCCTAAAATTTGATGAAAAATGCACACATGTTAAATTTAGTGCCCCAATACCCAATAAAATGCCCATTAATAAAATATAAAAGATGAGGTTACGAGGAGTAAATAGATACCCAACATGCCCAGGTTAAAACGCCAAATTTCAGTACATCAAAAAGTCAATTGACGACGCTTTAAAAGCCCCCACAGGTCATCAGTTTTGAGATGCGCATAAATATTGGCCCTAGAATTATTGCTCTCTGGTGTGTGCGGCGATACCCAACATGTGTAGCGCGATCGTTGTTTTCGTACGTAGGCACACCCGACACATGTTTATGTTATGACGTGCATGCTCGTGGGGGACTTTTGAAAAAATGTTTTCATTATTTTTACATTCATTTGATATTATTTTTAAAAACATATTTGTATTTTTTTAAAACTTTAATTGCTATGACATAAAGGGGACTTACAAGCCCCCCATGTGATAGCAGACTGGTGGTGACGGGTACTCTTTTTAAGGTGATACTGGGAGTCCAAAGACCCCCCAGTGTCACCTTTACACTTTAAGACTCCTCCCCAGCTTTCTACAGACACCCAAGATGTCCCGGGCCTGTAGGAGGGGCAGCGGAGCCCAGGAAACATGGGGGGGGGGGGGCAGTTTACCAGACCGGAGAAGGGTTCTGGCGACGGCTGAGTCACCAGAATCGCTTCTATTGTAAAGCCGACAGTCGGCTTTACAAATGTAAACAGAGTCCCGGCGTCTTTAGCCGCCGGGAGTCTGTTTAAAGGGGCCCGCTGCCAATAACGTACTATGGATAAAATGAATAAGCTTTAACCCCTTAGTGACCAGTGACAGTCACTAAGGGGTTAAAGCTTATTCCTCTTATTCAGTTGGGTGTCCAACATCTTTCATAAAATATGTAAACTAAATGTATTAAATTGTATAGACCAGGAGCCAGGTATCCAATGTTCCTTAAAAATGACAGCTGATAGAGATACACAAACTTCTTGTTTTGTTGGCAGTTCTCCTTACAGTGGCGTTCCCTCTTTTCACTAAGAAGAAGAAAGGAAGTACTGCACTGCACCCAGTGCTTCTATCCATTAGTCAAGTCACATTCCGTGTGTTTATCCCCTTGTTCTGGGCAGGATATTGTCCTGTCTCTGGCCTTTCTACATTGATGGTACAGGTACCCCTAATCTTGATCTACATGGTTGCATAGCATAAAATATTTATTTCCAGGGTCGCAATATAAACGTCAGGAGATACGTTATTTCAAGGGTGTTCTGTTTCCTGTCCTAGTTAAGCATTAGGACCTGTCTGACGGGTTCATATTGAATGTGTTTCACTTGATCTGTATACAGAGACAAACACAATGTAAGGCATGTGAATTGGGTGTACGTAGAATGATAAGGAAATGTACTTTGTGCTTAACTCTATTTTGTTTTGTTATATGGAGAAAAAAAAAAACGCGTGCTTTTTTTTTTTTGAAGAGACCATGTTATTTTATAAACTTTCAGCAAAGTACAAACCTGTAAAGGAAAGTACAAACCTCTCCTGCTGTCCGCAATGCTCGGCACAGCTACGTCGTAGGGAACTGGTCACTGAGGTCCGGTGGGAAAGCCGCACTTCCTGGGAGTGTCAGTCTTCATGGTCCCACTGCAGCTCTCACTAGTTCCTCCTGCTGATTTCTTCATCACCCTGTGGGGGATCATGGAGATCGACACTCCTCTAAGTGCTGGTGTATCAGTGGACTTGGGTGGATTAGTCCTTTTGCAGTAGTGGCACATGCAGCAGGAAGGGCAAGTGTTCCGTTTTCAGAGAAGGGCTTTGCTGAAATACTTTTATATGTCACTGGGTTTCTTTAAGGCCGCCGTCATTGATTTCAATGGAAAATGCAAATTCCTAAATGCAGAGACATGACTGCAGCCTAAAGGAAACCTTGGTCTGAGAGTATATGAACTCTGACTTTTGCTGGCCTTTCCCTTACATTGTTATGGAGCAGGCCCTCGGTAAAAAGTAGTTGTGAAACGTCAAGTGCTGCAATTAGTTTGTAACAGTATTGCCTTCTCTCCACAGAACAAGTTGAAATCCTCGCAAAAAGATAAAGTTCGCCAGTTTATGATCTTCACACAATCTAGTGAAAAGACTGCAGTAAGTTGCTTGTCCCAGAATGACTGGAAGCTAGATGTTGCCACAGATAACTTTTTCCAGAATCCTGAGCACTATATCCGAGAAAGTGTAAAAGGGGCTTTGGACAGAAAAAAATTAGAACAACTTTATAACAGATACAAAGGTAAGTACAAGCAGTACACGGAAAGAGAATCTGCCATTGTGAAAGCAAACCAGGTTCTAAAGCTCAGCTTCCAGCCAATTTGGCAACAAGTTCAACAAGCAACAAGTTCACTATTAGTTGAATGCTTTCTGGTGAGCGGTCATCACTCTGCTTTGTAAAGAGTACTGTGTATCTGGGTATATGCAAGGCCACTGTGAGAGTAGGAGATGTTCCTCTTCTAGTTCAATCCCTTTCAGAGGTTAGTTCTAATTTTTGTTTGAAATGCATTTTTTGTTTATGTTCCTCTTTCTGTAGCCTGGACTCCAGTCCTCGATAGTGTGAACATTTTTGCTGAATAAGAAGGGCTCTTTAAAGAGACCCTGGCACCACCATTTACCCTGACTACTAAACGCAGTTAGGCCAACTTTATTAGGCTAGACTCACACCAAATGCGTTGGAGCTGCGCTGGCCATTTTTTCCAGCGCAAGGCAATTTGTAAAACAAAAAGGTAAATAGTGCGGTGCATCGGCACTTTGGTAATGTACACCAGCAGTTCTAGAAAATAAAAACTTCCTGAATGTTGGATCACAACACTTCCTGGCCTTGTATGTGTTTGTATATATGTGTATATATTAGAGGTGCACCGGAATAGAAATTTTGAAACTGAAATAAAAAAAAATTGTCATACCGAAAAATGTTTTAAAAAAAATAATATTTTCATTTATTTTTTTATAAGCTTTTAAATTTTTTAAATATTTTTATTCATTTTTTTTATTAAATATTTTTAGTTTTTACTTTAAGTGCTTTGGGGAAATATTAGGGGTCTAAACAGACACAAAGTCCTCAATCTCTTTTTCTGCAGCCCCTGTTATGAATGAACAGAAATCATCTATACTGAGTGTTCCTGTTCGTTGATAATATGAGGACAGAGTGTGTTTACTATAACTACGAATGAACAGGAGGTGATGGAGATCACTTCCCATTCATTCATAATTGAGGATATAGTAATCATACTCTGTCCTCAATTATCTACAAACACTCAGCGATCACTGAGTGTTTGTACCTCGCTCTCCTCTCTGACACCCACTGAGGCTGAGCGAGCAGTTCAGGGAGGAGAGCTCAGCCTCCTGTAACAGCAATCTGTTTCCGCCCCCACACCGCTCTGCTGGACTGTGATAGGAGGCTGAGTGGTGCGGGAGTAAAGACGCCGGCCGCTCACAGCACTCTCCTCCCGCAGCGCTCGGCTGGCTGTCACACTTTCTCTCCTCCCCGCTGGGACACAGAGCAGCGCCCAGCGGGGAGGAGAGAAAGCAGGGATGCGCCAACGTATCGGCAGGAAAATGGCATTTTCGACATTTAGCCAAAAGTGCCATTTTCGGTCGATATGTTTCGGTGGTCGATATATCGGTGTATCCCTAGTGTGTATGTCTGTGTGTGTGTACACTGAGTGGCCAGATTATTATGACCACCCCATCAGTACTTCGTTGGGCCGCCTCGTGACTCCACGAGATATTGAAAGGTGATGCAAGGAATCTGACACTGCACTGTTGCCTTGTACCAGTCTTGCCACTCTCCGTTCTGCTCTAACATTGACTAGTCGCTGACGGCCACAATTCGCACGTTAAGACCCAGCTCCATGGCTTGAGCGCCAACAATCATCCCACGCTCAAAGGCTGTTAAATCGCGTTGTTTACCCGTATCTTCAGATAAAAATCACTTCTACTGTCGTGGTAAACAACCTGCTTCCCTATTTATAATGGTCTGGCCCTCTAGCAACTTCAGAGCGAAATTATAGCTAATTTGCCTACAAACGTCACGTGGTCATAATAATCTGTGTGTGTGTGTGTGTGTGTGTGTGTGTGTGTGTGTGTAATGTATATGTGTGTGTATAAGATATATATATATATCTTCAAAGTAAGGTATAGAAGAACTCATGGCTCTTGCAGCAGTAAGTCAAAGCATCAGCATTTTGTTGTCAATGTTTCAATGAAGCTGAGTCCATATTTATCAAGAAACTAATAAAGCTCTTTTGAAATGTTGGTGATGAAATGTATTTATTTATTTATAATGGGTATTTATATAGTCCCTATCTCACATGCATACATAGAGGACTCTACCAGCATGTTTTTGGAGTGTGGGAGGAAACCCACGCAAGCACAGGGAGAACATGCCAACTCCTTGCAGATAGTGATCTGGCCAGTGCTGCAAGGCAGAAGCGCTAACCATTACGCTGTGCTGCCCATATAAAATGCTGATGCTTTGCCTTTTCTCCTCTGCAAGTCCTGCGAGTACCTTTTTATACCTACTTTGACATGTACTTTACAGAGTGTGCTGGGTACCTCTGGGTCTATATAATTTTTTTTTCTTTCCAAGATGAATGCATCATGAAATTAGGGCAGGGTATCCTCTAAGGATAGTGTCACTGCCCCAAAACCAGCATGCATGGATTCACTGAAGTTGGCCATATTTGCATTCTGCAGGCTTTCATATACAGCACCTCTCTTGTGTAGGGAACACAGCTGTGTGACTTTGCCTAAGCACACACCGGACTGGGCATTGTGTTCAGTAAATCATACTAGGCACTAGGTTTTTCCTCTTGTATGATTGCAGAAAACCTGAATCTAACTGATTGTTTTGGTGGCTACATGTTGAACTTCATCATTGTGGATTGTGCTGTCATATTAAATATATCATGCTTTTTCTGTCGTGCTTAGCAGTTTTTCTGAGCATTGCATAAGAATCATCCGTACAGACAAGATGAACACTCAGCCCAATCCATTCTTTCACCCAGCTGTCCCTTCTGATGTCTGAGCATGCTGATTTTTATTTCCTACACAGACCCTCAGGATGAAAATAAAATTGGAATAGATGGCATCCAGCAGTTTTGTGATGATTTAGCGCTCGACCCCGCCAGTGTCAGTGTGCTAATTATTGCATGGAAATTCAGAGCAGCCACACAGTGTGAATTTTCTAAGCAGGAATTTATGGATGGAATGATAGAATTAGGGTAAGTTGTACATACACGGTCACTTGTAAATGTAAGCTCACTTCAATTCTGTAGGAAAACACTTTGGTGTACATCCAATATTTGTGAAGGTTTGCAAAGTAATTGTGTTTTTAAGGTAAAAAAGAGAAAAAACAGACAAATATGTCCACATGGTCTCTTTCTGCCGTCACACTTCCACAGACAAATTTGTTGGTACCCATACAGCTCATTGAAACAATGCTTTATTCCTTCTGAAAAGAGATGAATAAAAACAATTGTCTCATATGTACCTGCATCCCTTTTTTATTATGTCACGTAGTAAAGCAAAGAAAGTGTGAAAGGAGAGAAAATATTGCTTATTCTAAAATGGCCTGGACAGATTTGTTGGTACCCCTAGAAAGGATTATAAATATTTGGATCATAGTGATATTTCAAAATACATTTTCTGTAATTAGTAATCTTGTAATCAAGCAGTCAGACTATTTAAATGGAGAAAAATATTTGCTCATCTGTTTGGTATAATTGTGTGCATCACACTGAACATGGATCAGAGAAAGCAAAGGAGAGATTGTCTGAGGAGATCAGGAAGAAAACTAAAGATCAGCATGTCAAAGGTAAAGGCTATAAGACCATCTCCAAGCAGCTTGACATTTCCTGTGACTACAGAACATGGCTGGAAAATCAGGCCTCAGATTGAACAGAAGGATAGTGATAGAAAGAGATACAAGCTGCACTCCAATATCGAGGTACATTAGTGACTGATCACACAATCTTTTTCAGCAACAGAGGACTCTAATGAAGTAGTCCCAGGAGGGCTCCACTGAAAACAAACAAAACCTTTGTGGAATTTGCTCAAATGCATATTGATTAGTTAGTGTCTGGGAGAATGTCTTTTGGACAGGTGAGACAAATATGGGCCTTTTTGGTAAGTCTCATCAGCTATATGTTCACCAATTAAAAAAAAAAAAAAACTTTCAAAGAAAAGAATGTTGCACCTACTGTACAATATGGGGGAAGCTCTGTTATGCTTGGGGACTGCTTCTGGCTGCAGGGCACTATGAAATCTCGAGAGTATTTGGGAATTTTGGAGTAAAACATTGCCCTCTGTTAGAAAGCTGTCTCAGGCCATGAGTTCTCCTACAGGCTAATGACCCAAAATACCAAAGAATAGCAAAGAACAAACACTGGACTATTCTGAAGTGGCCTTCTATGAGCCCTGATCTGAATCCTCAACCTGAGACAGAAGTTTCCTCGTGAAGAGAGGATCAAGCTTTATGTTGGCATGTGCAGAAGTCTCATTCTCTTCGGAAATTGCTTGTTTGCTGTGATTGCATCTAAAGGTTATGCAACTAAATGTTAGGTGCAGGGTCACATCAATTTAATTTGTTTTTATTTCTTAAAATAGTCTGTTAAATCAAAAGCAAATTCTGATTTTTATTAAATATGGAGTAAGCAATGATGGATGGCAATACATTTTTTTTTTTTTTAAGTGGAAGAGTACCAACAAATTTGTCCACAACCTTGTTTCCATATCAGGTAACTGAGTAGACTTAATGACTTCTGACAGCAAATTGCATAGTCATACTGTTAGCAGGTCCTCTTGCTTTTTCTCTCCCACTTTTTCATGCAGTCTCATCAGCCAACACCACAGATACTTAATACAATTCCAAAAAAGTTGGGAAGCTGTGTAAAATCGACATGAAAACAGAATGCAATGATTTGCAAATCTCATAAACCCAGATTTTATTCACCATAGAAAACATCAAATGTTTAAACTGAGAAAGTGTATCATTTTAAGGAAAAAAAATAAGGTTATTTTGAAATTGATGGCAGCAACACGTCTCCAAAAAGTTGGGACAGGGCAACAAAATCTGGCAAAGTGGTACTAACAAGGAAGAGCTGGAGGAAGATTTTGCAACTAATTAGGTATAAAAAGAACATCTTACAGAGTCATAGTGTTTCAAAAGTAAAGATGGGCAGAGGTTCACCAATCTGAAAAGCTGCATCTAAAAATTGAACAATTTCAGAATAATGTTCCTCAACATAAAATTGTAAAGACTTTAAATATATCATCATCTGCAGTACATAATATTAAAAGATTCTGAGCATCTGGAGAAATCTCTGTGCACAAAGGACAAGGCCGAAATGCAATATTGGATGCCCATGATCTTTGTGCCCTCAGACGGCACTGCATTAAAAATAAGCATAATTCTGTGATGGACATCGCTGAGCGGGCTGAGGAATTCCTTCCAAAAATCACTGTCTGTGAACACAGCTCGCTGTGCCATTACCATAAAATGCCAGTTAAAGCTCTATCATGCAGGGAAGAAGCCCAATCTGAACGGGATCCAGAAAATGCAGCTGTCTTCTCTGGGCCAAAGCTCATTTAAAATGGTCTGTTGCAAAGTGGAAAACTGACCTGTGGTCAGACTAAAAGAAATTAGATAATTCTTTTTAACAACACTCTGTCTGAGAACTGAGGAGACCAGTTGATGGAGTTTTGGAAGAGAAATGTTGTCCCATTCTTGCCTGATATAGGATTCTAACTGCAACAGTCCTGGGCCTTCTTTGTTGTATTTTTCGTTTCAAGATGCGCCAAATATTTTCAGTTGGTGAAAGGTCTGGACTGCAAGCAGGCCAGTTAAGCACCCGGACTCTTCTACTATGAAGCCATGCTGTTGTCTGATGCATTGTCCTGCTGAAATGTGCAAGGCCTTCCCTGAAAAAGAAGTTGTTTTCGCTACACTAAAACCTGGATATATCTTTCAGCATTGATGGTGCCTTTCCAGATCTGCAAGCTGCCCATTCCATACACACTATTGCACCCCCATACCATCAGAGATGCAGGCTTTTGAATGGAGCTCTGATAACAAGCCAGAAGGTCCCTCTCTTTAATCTGGAAAACGTGGCGCCCATGGTTACCAAAAGGTAACCAAAGGTACAGTGGTTACACTGTATTAAACATGGCCCTGTCCCAACTTTTGCTGCCATCAATTTCAAAATTACCTTTTTTTTTCTTTTTTTTTCTTTTTTTTCCCTCCTTTTTTAAAATGGTAAATTTCCTCCGTTTTTTAACCCCTTCCCGACCAAGACTGGATTATTCCATCAGTGTTTCAGTTCCTTAACGACCAGTGACAGAATAATCTTGTCATGCGGTACAATGAGCGTTGGTCCGTGCATGGATTAGTGCTCATTGAGTTAATATTGTTGATGGGTCCCTTGCGGTCCAAGTCAGACCCTAAACAGCAATATAGATGGTTACAGCACTGTGATTACTACAATAGCTGATCGCATTGATCCCCGAGCCTGCTTTCAGCTCACTATGTTGTGGAGCTGGAAGCCGGCTGTGTATTACAAAGTGATACAACGTATCTCTAAGGAGAGTACAGTATCTCCTCAGAATACTTAGTATCAAAAGCCCCTGTAAATAAAAACAAAAATAACCCTTTTAGTGCCCCCCCTAGTTTAAAAAAATAATAAACAGTTTTTTAAAGTTTTTAAAAGGAAAAAAGTTAAGTCAATAAAATAAAGAACAATATGTTTATTAATAAAAATAAGACTGGTTTGGGCCCCTTTTGCAGCACTTACTGCAATTACTTTTGCACGATATTCTAATTATTCGAGTTTCACCTGTATATACATATACACACACACACACACATGTGTCACATCAAATTGATCCCCATTTTGGCCTTTAAAAACGGTATATAATATGTGTAGGTGCAATAAATAAGGAAGATGGAAATTATGGTTAAACATATAGCAAAATTGCTCTAGTCCCCAGGAACGAAAACCTTTTCTGAAGCTGTGTCACTAAGGGGTTAAACATTGGATATGCTTTCTGTTGTGAATAAAATCTGGGTTTATGAGAATTGCAAATCATTGCATTCTGTTTTTATGTAGATTTTACACAACTTCCCAACTCTTGGAATTGGGGTTGTAGTAAGGAAGGGGATGCTGGGATCACCATCTAATTTGCAGTATGCAGTTAGACTGCTTAAAATGAATATTTACATGCTAAGAATACAGTTGAATGATTTCTTAAGTTGTTGCTTACAGTGTTCTCTAGCTTCATAATAGGTGGTAGAATATGACGACAGTGCCATGGTGACTGAAACATTTCTTTGTTAGTACTAGAATGGCTGAGAATGGGAAGCATGTTCCCTGTGATTATGTGACCAAGGCAGCTGGGGGAGTTGAAGGTATTGCACACAAGACATAAAAACAGTAGGTGACACCGTGTGGTTAAGAAGAAGGGATGGGGG